GAGACGGGGTTTCACCATGTTGACCAGGATGGTCTCGATCTCTTGACCTTGTGATCCACCCGCCTCGGCCTCCCAAAGTGCTGGGATTACAGGCTTGAGCCACCGCGCCCGGCCTTCATTTTTTTTTAAATAGAGATGGAGTCTTGCTATGTTGCCCAGGCTGGTCTTGAAATCCTGGGCTCAAGTGATCCTCCCACCTCAGCCTCCCAAAGTGCTGAGATTACAGGCATGAGCCATCATGCCCAGCTAAACAACTTCATTTTAATTTAATGATAGGGAATGCTAGCGTGAGTAACTCCATTTTAGTATGGCCTATTGGGGGCCTAGTACAGGAGCTCAGTCCAAAACAATGGCCTCCTATAAATTTTTATTATTTATTTATTTTTTGAGACAGAATTTTGCTCTTGTCGCCCAGGCTGGAGTGCAATGACGCGACCTCAGCTCACTGCAACCTCTGCCTCCTGGGTTCAAGTGAGTCTCCTGCCTCAGCCTCCTGAGTAACTGAGATTACAGGCATGTGCCATCACATACAGCTAACTTTTGTATTTTTTTTTTTATTATACTTTGGGCTCTGGGGTACATGTGCACATCCTGCATCCTGCAGGATTGTTGCATAGGTACATACATGCCATGGTGGTTTGCTGTCTCCATCCCCTGCCCCCGTAATTTTTGTATTTTTAGTAGAGACAGGGTTTCACCATGTAAGTCAGGTTGGTCTTGAACTCCTGACCTCAGGTGATCCACCCACCTCAGCCTCCCAAAGTGCTGGGATTACAGGCATGAGCCACGGCGCCCGGCGTTGCCTCCTGTAAATATTATTGAACAACTGACTGCGCTAATCATTTCACTACATATTATGTACATTAAATCATCACATTATATACTTTAAATATATAAAACTTTTTATCAATTATGCCTCAATAAAACTAGAAGAAAAAGCCAATGGTTATCAACTCTGGCTAAGCATTAGAATAACCTAAGGAGCTTTTTTAAAAAAGGAAGCTGGGTGCAGTGGCTCACAACTGTAAGTCCAACACCTTGGGAGGTCTGGGAAACAAAACAAGGCTTTGTCTTTACTTAAAAAATAAACTGGCAGCCAGGCATGGTAGCTCACAACAATCCTATGGATACTGGTACTCATGCATTTTGTGGTTGTAGAAACAAGTTTAGGGATGTTAAGAAACTTGTCTAGGCCTTCACATCTGACAGGTGTGAAGAAGTTTTCAATCCATATATTTGGCTTCAAAGTCCCCACACAAAACTCCGTATTTTACTGCCTCTCTCCTCAATAAATAAATCAGAAAATTGCTAACAGCTTTAAAACAGCAAATTCTTAGGCCAGGTGTGGTGGCTTATGCCTGTAAACCAAACACTTTGGGTTACAAAGGTGGGCGGATCACCTGAGGTCAGGAGTTCAAGACCAGCCTGACCAACATGGTAAAAGCCCGTCTTAAAAAAACAAAACAAACAAACAAAAAAAACCAGTGAATTCTTGGGGCCGGGCACAGTGGCTCCTGCCTGTAATCCTAGCACTATGCGTGGCCGAGGCAGGCGGATCACCTAAGGTCAGGAATTTGAGACCAGCCTGGCCAACGTGGCAAAACCCCATCTCTTAAAAATACAAAAATTAGCCAATAATCTCAGCTATTCCGGGGGCTGAGGCAGGAGAATCGCTTGGACCTGGGAGGCGGAGGTTGCAGCGAGCTGAGATCGCACTACTGCACTCCAACCTGGGTAAAAGAGTGAAACTCCATCTCAAAAACAAAACAAAACAAAACAAAACCCCCAGCAAATTCTTTCCTGCTTCTACCTTTCAAATTTTCAGAAATCTGTATAATCTCAGGACATCCTAATCCAGAAACTCTTCCCATAGGTAGGAAAAAGAACGAAGTCTTGCTCCTTGTTTCAAGTTTGTATATATTCACTCAAAAACATTTGCTGAGTGCTTCTATGTTCCAGAAAGTATATTTCATATACACGGAACAAAACAGACAAGCAGCTGCTCCAGTGGCTTTTGCATTCGACCACCAATTTGAGAGTATATCTGTAAACTGGGGCTAATAGTAGCTACCCTATATGATTGTTGTGAGAATCAAATGCAGGCCAGGGACAGTGGCTCACATCTGTAATCCCAAAACTTTTAGAGGCCAAGGCAGGAGGATCACTTGAGGCCAGAAATTTGAGACCAAGCCTGAGCAATACAATGAGATCCCATCTCTACAAAAAAATGAAATAATTAGTCAGCTGCGGTGGCTAACACCTGTAATTCCAGCACTCTGGGAGGCCAAGGTGGTTGGATCACCTGAGGCCAGGAGTTCGAGATCAGCCTGGACAACATTGTGGAACCCTGGCTCTACTAAAAATACAAAAAATTAGCTGGGCATGGTGGTGGATGCCTGTAATCTCAGCTACTCAGGAGGCTGAGGCAGGAGAATCTCTTGAACCTGGGAGGTGGTACTAAAAGTACAAAAATTAGTGGGGGTGGTGGCAAGCACCTGTAGTCCCAGCTACTTGGGAGGCTGAGGTGGGAGAATTGCTGGAACCTGCGAGGTGGAGGTTGCAGTGAGCCAAGATCACACCACTGCACTCCAACCTGGGTGACTCTGTATAAAAAACAAAAATTAAAAAATTAGCCAGGCATGGTGGCACACACCTGTAGTCCTAGATACAATGTAAGCTGAGGCAAGAGGATGGCTTGAGCTCAGGAGTTCAAGGCTGCAGTGAGGTATAATCATGTACTCCAACATGGACTCCACGTCCGGACAGCAAGACACTTTTTTTTTTTTTTTTTTTTTTTTTTTGAGACGGAGTTTCGCTCTTGTTACCCAGGCTGGAGTGCAATGGCGCGATCTCGGCTCACCGCAACCTCCGCCTCCTGGGTTCAAGCAATTCTCCTGTCTCAGCCTCCTGAGTAGCTGGGTACAGGCACGCACCACCATGCCCATTTTATTTTTTTTTGTAGCTTTAGTAGAGACGGGGTTTCACCATGTTGACCAGGATGGTCTCTATCTCTTGACCTTGTGATCCACCCACCTCGGCCTCCCGAAGTGCTGGGATTACAGGCTTGAGCCACCGCGCCCGGCCTACAGCAAGACACTTTTAAAATAAAATTAGAAGGCCGGGCGCGGTGGCTCACGCCTGTAATCCCACCACTTTCGGGAGGCCAAGGCGGGCAGATCACGAGGTCAAGAAATCGAGACCATCCCGGCCAAGATGGTGAAACCCCCTCTCTACTAAAAATACAAAAACTAGCCGGGCGTGGAGGTGCGTGCCGGTAATCCCAGCTACTCGGAAGGCTGAGGCAGGAGGATCGCTTGAACCCAGGAGGCGGACGTTGCAGTGAGCCGAGATTGCACCACTGCACTCCAACCTGGCGACAGAGCGAGACTCAGTCTCAAAATATATATATAAATAATAAATAAATAAATAAAATTAGAAATAATCATTTTGAAAGAGAATCAAATGCTTCGTGTAAAGCGCTTAGTGACTGACACATAGAGTTCAATAAGTAGATTTTTTAGTGGAAACTGAGCTGCTGCGGATATAAATACCACACGCATTCCTTAGTTTAGAGGGGAGACAGATGTCAATAGGATGCCAAGTGCCAGGGAGGGGCTGAGCAGGAGAGGTCACGCCTGCTCTGCGCCTGCACTGCGCCTCAGAGGATGACTTTCATCAGGTGATGCAGTAATTACTCCAGCCAGTGCAAAAGAAAGGTGAGGGAGGTGATGCTCCAAGTGGCTGGCTCCAGAGGTAGAGGAGACGGAGAGATGGGAGTGTTAAAGCAAGAGTTCATTAAAACAGGCTCACGATAGTAGTGGGATAAGACTGGTAAAGTTCCTGTATTCCATCCCAACAATTTTGGGCTTTTTCCTTTTAAGTAGTAGACTGTCTCGTGATTTTTCCCAGCTAATAAGAGAGAAAATATGAGACATCTATTTGTGTGCTCTAAGAAATTACAAAAGCGTAAAACAGCCACTGTCCTAATGTTCAATGCTATACGCACAGTAAGTCACGATAATCAGGGCGAAACTTGGGGAAGGGCCCGGAAAGCAGCCCACCTTTTTTTTTTTTGAGACAGTCTCACTCTGTCGCCCATGCTGAAGTGCAGTGGCGATCTCGGCTCGCTGCAACCTCTGCCGCCCGGGTTCAAGCGATTCTCGTGCCTCAGCCTCCCGGGTAGCTGGGATTACAGGCGCCTGCCACCGCGCCCGGCTAATTTTTTTGTATTTTTAGTAGAGTCGGGGTTTCGACATCTTGGCCAGGCTGGTCTCAAACTACTGACCTCGTGATCCATCCGCCTCGGCCCCGCCTCCCAAAGTGGTGGGATTACAGGCGTGAGTCACTGCGCCCGGCCTAGCAGAGCACCTTTCTAGAAGACAAATAACACAGAACGCTTGGCCGAGAATAGCCACAAGATGGAGGACAAGAGAGTAAAGAAAACACTCAGGGAAAGCGCATGGGTGGAACCCGACGGAAGTGGGGTAGTTATTCTAATTCAGGCCCTTCCGCACTATTGGCTGGACTCACCCTTTTTCCTTTTCCATTGGCCACCGGTCCCTTCCCTGGGTCAAAACAGCCAATCGCCTAGCGCCATGGGTAAGCCCGCCCTTTCTCCCGGTGAGGCGGAGCCAGAAGAGCTGAGGTGCGGGAGGCGCTTGCGCGAGCGCGCGCTTCGCCGGTTGAAAGCGGATCGGGGCAGGAGGCGGTGTCGCGGTGTATGAATATTGATTACGCGTCGCAGCGCCCTGCGCCCGCCCCTCTCGGCCGCCCGACGCTCGCAGCTCGCGCTTGGGCTCGCGATGGGGAAGAAGTCCCGGGCGGTACCCGGCCGCAGGCCTATCCTGCAGCTCTCTCCGCCGGGTCCTCGAGGTAGCACGCCGGGCCGGGACCCGGAGCCGGAACCGGACCCTGAGCCAGACTCGACGGCAGCGGCCCCCAGCCAGCCCGCCCCGGCGGCGGCGGCGACGACCACCACCACCTCGGTGACTGCCGCCGCAGCCCCGGACGACTCGTCTTCAGAAGGCAAGGGTGCGCGGGGGGCCCCGGTACTCGAGCTCAGGGCTTGCGGCCTAGGCTCCTCAGGACGCCTGTCCAGACCTGGCGAGGGAGGCGGGCGAGGTCGGCTTCCGAGGCCTGCCTGCTGCGGGCCTGCCTGCTGCGGGCCTGCGGGCGGGGCGATCGTGGGCTCCGGGCCGCAGAAGGACCAGGCCGGGCTCTGCGCTCTCGGCTGGGGCCTACCCTGAGGCGCCATCTCTGGTGCGGGGGTTGCCTCGGGAACATTTGAAATGCGACCGAGGCTCGGGCGCCCTGAGTCTCCCAAACGCCGCGGGTCGTTTTTGGGTTACGCAGAGGGTTGATGTGAGGATGAGTTTCCGCGTGCGCGGCCTGTGACTGTGGACCAGGCTTTTCCACACGTCATCTGCCTCCTTTCGGTTTTGTTGAAACGGAGACAAAGACGTTTAGAAGTTCTTTTTAATGTGCCAGCCAATAAGTATCCCCATACTAGCAAAAGTCCTGGAGAAATGGAGCTCGTGGGTTCCCAAGTATTTGTGTGGTTCTCACCGGAGTGGTCTTGGATTAGAAGTGACTGCGGGGCTAGAGATCACTGATGCTGAGTCGTTAGTTGCAAAAAATCCGCAATAGCAGTTTGGCGTTTCTTGTACAGGTCCTATCGTAGCCTGGAGAATACTTACTGTTTTTGTGTGTATTTATGAGTATTGCAGATTTAACTTTTTGAGAGTTTTGTTTTTTTGAGATAAGGTCTCGCTCTGTCGCCCAAGCTGGAGTGCAGTGGCGCGATCTCGGGCTCACTGCAACCTGTACCTCCGGGTTCAAGTGATCCTCCCGCCTCAGCCTCCTGGGTAGCTGACACTACAGGACCCTGCCACCACGCCCAGCTAATTTTTGTATTTTCAGTAGAGACGTGGTTTCTTCATGTTGCCTGGGCTGGTCTCCAAATCCAGGGCTCAAGCGATCGTTATAAGCGAGAGCCACCGCCCGGCCATGCATATATATTAATTTTTTTCACTATGATCAGAGTCTTCTCTTGATGTTGAAGTTTCTAGGCAGATGAAGGACTGCAGGGCGTGGTGGCTCACACCTGTAATCCCAGCACTTTGGGAGGCCGAGATAGGCGGATCACTCGATATCAGGAGTTTGACCAGCCTGGGAACAAGAGTGAAACTCTGTCTCAAAAAAAAAAAAAAAAAAAGTTCCAGCTCTGCGTGTTTATCATCTCCCAATTATTTGGGTCAGCGAAATGTCCTTATTTTTTATTTTTATTTTTTGAGATGGAGTCTCCCTCTGTGGCCAAGGCTGGAGTGTTTGTAACCTCCACCTCCTGGGCTCAAGCAGTCCTCCTAGCTCAGTCTCCGAGTAGCTGGGATTAAAGGCAAGCGCCACCACGCCCGCCTGATTTTTCTTTTTTTTTTTTGGCATTTTTAATAGAGATGGGGTTCAACATGTTGGCCAGGCTGGTCTTGAACTCCTGACCTGAAGTTATCCACCGACCTCTACCTCCCAAAGTGCTGGGATTACAGGTGTGAGCCCTGCCAAAATATAGTTTTTTAAAAAATTGATGAAATCTAGACTCGAAAGGTTAAATCAAAGGTTGATTTGTCACCTCTAATGTTTTCTCTGGTCCGGAGTCTGACTGCCTTTTTTTTTTTTTTCTTTTTTACATCCAGATGAACAGGAAGTGGTGGTGGAGGTTCCTAGAGTTGTTCAGAATCCTCCAAAACCAGTCATGACCACCAGACCCACAGCCGTTAAAGCAACAGGTATGCTTTTGTTTTATTTCTTACATTTTTTCTCACGTCTTTCATTAAATTCAAACTGGGTTTACGTAGAATATTCTGTTGACTGCTTTAGTGTTGTTCACATTATTACTCCCAAAAGCATGATTGAAGATTTATTTGTTTGTGACAGAATGTTGAGGGATACACGCTTTGACCAGTGCAAAATTTGTTGTTTCTCTGTACCCAAAATGTTTTTTACTAGTTTTTTTTTCCTGATGCTATTTTACAACTAGTTTTCTGGTCCTCCCACTAGCTTGGTGTTCATTAGGCCTGCCAAGTACTATTCCTTTTCTAACACGCTGGCTTGATTGGTTGCCTAACAAATGTTGGTGGATCTGAAATTGATCTTAATAAGTATTTTCAACTACAAAGGCATACTGTAGTTGCAACAGTGGTTTTGTAGACAAACTTGGGTTTAATTAATCACTCTGGCATTCACACTTAGACTTTGGGGCAGTTATTAATTGGTTTGAACTTGATTCATCTGTAGAATGGATCTTTTATCTCTGAGATATTTCCAGATGTATATAAAGTTCTGACATAGTGCCAAGGATGTTAATTTCCTCTATATATCTTGGAAGAGTAAAATATGTTTTAATATTAAATACTCTATAATTGGTAATAATTTCTTTTCAGTTCAGAATACTTTGTGTAATTATTATTATTATTTTTTTTTTTGAGTCAGAAGTTTGCTCTTGTTACCCAGGCTTGAGTGCAATGGCGTGATCTCAGCTTACTCCAACCTCCGCCTCCTGGGTTCAAATGACTCTCCTGCCTCAGCTTCCTGAGTAGCTGGGATTACAGGCATGCACCACCATGCCTGGCTAATTTTTTTTGTATTTTTAGTAGAGACAGGGTTTCTCCATGTTGATCAGGCTGGTCTTGAATTCCCAACCTCAGGGGATCCGCTTGCCTCAGTCTCCCAAAGTGCTGGGATTACAGGCATGAGCCACCGTGCCCCGTTATTTTTTGTGCTGTTTGATACTTAAAATGATAGATGCTTATATTCCTCTCTCCACCATTTGCCACTAAAAAAAAAACCAAACACCCCATTGTGGGTTAGAAAGCTAAAATTTGGTTGTGAGAGAAGTTTCAGAACTACATTACAGCATTTTGTATTTGCAAAATATATATGTTATTTCATTTGAGACTAAACACTTATTTAAAATACATAGAATTTAACCAGGAGTGGTGGTATATGCCTGTAATCCCTGCACTTCAGGAGGCCAAGGCAGGTGGATCACTTGAGTTCAGGAGTTCAAGACCAGCCTGACCAACATGGTGAAACACCGTTTCTACTAAAAATACAAAAATTAGCCAGACCTGGTGGCGCACGCCTGTAATTGTAGCTACTCAGGAGGCTGAGACACAAGAACCCAGGAGGCAGAGGTTGCAGTGAACCGAGGTCACACCACTGTACTCCAGCTTGGATGACAGTGAGAACCTGTCTTAAATAAATACATAAAATAAAATATAAATTTAAGTGTTTTTAGGAGAAACTTCATTGATTACTCCTGTGGTTTGAATATCCCCTCAAGATGTAAACACCTTCCATTAGGCCCCCACTTTCCAACACTGTTGCATTGGGGATTAAATTTCCAAAACATCCTTTTTTTTTAAAGTTAAAAAAATTTTTTCCCCAAAACATCCTTTTTAGGGGTACATTCAAGTCATAAGAGGTATTTTAGTTTATTATTTTTTTGAGACAAAGTCTTGCTCTGTTGCCCAGGCTGGAGTGCAGTGACACGATCTTGGCTTACTGCAGCCTCTGCCTCCCGGATTCCAGCGATTCTCCTGCCTCAGCCTCCCAAGTAGCTGGGATTATAGGCGCATGCTACATACCCGGCTAATTTTCGTATTTTCAGTAGAGACAGGGTTTCACCATGTTGGCCAGGTTGGTCTTGAATTCCTGACCTCAGATGATCTGCCTGCCTTGGCCTCCCAAAGTGCTGGGGTTACAGGTGTGAGCCACGGTGCCCAGCCAAGAGTTATATACTTAAGAAATAATTTGCTGCTTGATACAGCTAGCTGATACAGAAATTGTGTGGCCCCATCCTTCAAAGGTAAGTAAGAATGTTGAGGTTTGACGGGTCATCATCCCTCTCAAAAAAAGACTGCTAAAGACTATGGCTCTGAAGAATGACCGTGGTTTCTCAGGCTTGTAAGTAGCAACAGACTTTTTTTTTTTTTTTTTTTTTTTGAGATGGAATTTTGATCTTGTTGCCGAGGCTGGAGTGCAGCTGCGTGATCTTGGCTCACTGCAACCTCCGCCTCCTGGGCTGAAGTGATTCTCCTGCCTCAGCCTCTTGAGTAGCTGGGATTACAGGTGCACACGTGCTACCACGCCCAACGAATTTATATATACATTTTACATATGAATATATATACATACACCCATATACATATAAAGTATATATTATATACAAAATGCATAAATATACATATGTATATATATTTTTAAAGAGATGGGGCCTTGCTCTGTTGCACAGGCTGGAGTGCAGAGGCACGATCTTGGCTCATTGCAACCTCTGCGTCCCCGGTTCTAGTAATTCTTGTGCCTCAGCCTCCCTAGTAGCTGGGACCATAGGTGCACGCTGCCACCACCTGGTGAATTTTTTTTGTATTTTAGTAGAGACAGGGTTTCATCCTGTTGCCCAGGCTGGTCTCAAACTCCTAAACTCAGGCAATCCACCCTCCTTGGCCTCCCAAAGTGCTAGGATTACAGGTGTGAACCACCACGCCTGGCTATTTTTATATTTTTAGTAGAGACAGGGTTTCGCCATGTTGGCCAGGGTGGTCTTGAACTCCTGACCTCAAGTGATCAACCTGCCTCAGACTCCCAAAGTGCTGTGATTACTGGTGTGAGTCACCACGCCTGGCCTGCAACACATCTTAGTAGTAATCAAGAACTTGTTCTTACAACTCAGGGTTGAAGTGATCTTCCCACCTTGGCCTCCCAGAGTGCTGGGATTACAGGCAGAAGCCACTATGCCCAACCCAGGAACATAGTTTTTTTTTTTTTTGAGACAGAGTTTCGCTCTTGTTACCCGGGCTGGAGTGCAATGGCGCGATCTCGGCTCACTGCAGCCTCCGCCTCCTGGGTTCAAGCAATTCTCCTGCCTTAGCCTCCTGAGGAGCTGGGATTAGAGGCATGTGCCACCATGCCCAGCTAATTTTTTTTTTATTTGTAACAGAGACGGGGTTTCTCCAGGTTGATCGGGCTGGTCTTGAACTCCCGACCTCAGGTAATCTGCCTGCCTCGGCCTCCGAAAGTGCTGGGATTACCGGCGTGAGCCACTGCGCCTGGCCAATTAGGAGGGACAGGGTTTCACCATGTTGGCCAGGATGGTCTGGATCTCCTGACCCTGTGATCTGCCATCCCCTGTGATCTGCCATCCCCAGCCTCCCAGAGTGCTGCGATTACAGGTGTGAGCCACTGCACCCAGCCAGGAATGTCCATGTAAATATCTTTCTTGCCAGTTTAAAATACTATTTTGTGGCCAGGTGAGGTGGCTCACACCTGTATTTTGTGGTTAGGCAAAGTGGTCCACACCTGCAGTGTCAGCACTTTGGGAGGCTGAGCTCAGGAGTTCAAGGCCAAGCTGGGCAACAGAACGAAATCTTGTCTGTACTTAAAAAAAAAAAAGCCAAATGTGGTGGCATAGACCTGTATTCCTAGCTATATGAGCAGAAGAATGGCTTGTGCCTAGGATTTTGAGACCAGCCTGGACAGCATGGCAAAACCTCTCTACAAAAGTTAGCCTGGCATGGTGGTGTGCATCTGTAGTACCAGCTACTCAGGAGTCTGACTCAAGTGGGAGGATGGGTTGAGCTCAGGAGGTTGAGGCTGCAGTGAGCTGTGATCACACCATTTCACTCGTGCCAGACAGAGTGATACCCTATCTCAGAAAAAAGAATAATTTTCTCTAACAATTTGAGAGGTCAAGGCAAGAGGATCACATGAGGATAAGAGTTTGAGACCAGCCTGGGCAACAGGAGATTCCATCTCTGCAAAAAATAAAAAAAAAATTAGCTAGGAATGGTAGGTTGTGCCTCTAGTAATCCACTCAGGGTGCTGAGGGAACAGGATCACTTGAGGCCATGAGTTTGAGACTACAGTGATCCACTGCTTCAAGCCTGGGCCATAGAGCAAGACCCTGTCTCTTAACATGCACACATATAAACATAAATAAATCAAACTTTAGAAATTGATATTTAGAAGCTGTGCGAGGTAGCTCACGCCTGTAATCCCAGCACTTTGGGAGGCCGAGGTGGGCAGATCACTTGAGGCCAGGAGTTCAAGAGCAGCCAGGCCAACATGGTGAAACTCCATCTCTACCAAAAATGCAAAAATGAGCAGGGTGTGGTGGTGCACACCTGTAATCCTAGCCACTCGGGAGGAAGAGGCAGGAAAATCGCTTGAATCCTGGAGGTGGAGGTTGGAGTGAGTCAAGATCGTGCCACTGCACTCCAGCCTGGGCAACAGAGTGAGACTCCATCTAAAAAAAAAAAAAAAAGAAACTGCTATTTAAGAACTTACCTGCATACTACATACAAGATGAAAAAAATGAAGGCAGGAATTATGATACTAAAGCATTGAATGTGAACTCTTACATGACCAATGGAACAATTTATGTTTACCTTTAGGTGACCTTTGAGTTTATGTATGGGATGTATGACACGAAAAACTAATTTTATTTTCTGATAAATCTGTTCATTTACCAAATTTTTAGTGAGAGCATAGAATTTGTGAGCACTGTGAAATTTAGTATAATAGCTGAAAAGTCTAGCTAGAATTTAACATTTTATGTATTTATAATTAAATAATATATAGAGAGAGGTACATATGCTTAGTTAATTGTAATCTTACCACAGGTGATCCAAAAGGAAATGACATAGCAGCATTACAGAGGCCATCCCTGACACCACTTGAGTTTAAGGAAGACATTAATAATTGGTTTTAGCCATGTCGAGCCCCATTTTTAATTCATGCCACTTCCTGTTTCAGGAATAATCATTGATTAAAAGCTTTTCTTTTCTTTTTTTTTTTTTTAAAGATGGNCCATGTTGACCAGGATGGTCTCGATCTCTTGACCTTGTGATCCACCCACCTCGGCCTCCCAAAGTGCTGGGATTACAGGCTTGAGCCACCGCGCCCGGCCCATATTTATATTTTTTAACATATATTTTATATTTATATTTAGAGAAAAGGTCTTTCTATGGTACACAGGCTGGAGTAGCTGGGATTACAGGCGCCTGCCACAATGCCCCGCTTTTTTTTTTTTTTTTTTAAGATAAGACGGGGTTTCACCATGTTGGTCAGGCTGGTCTTGAACTCCCGGCCTCAGGTGATCCACCCGCCTTGGCCTCCAAAGTGCTTGGATTACTGGTGTGAGCCACCATGCCCGGCCTTTTTTTTTTTTTTTAAGATTATAAAAACTTCCTCTTTAATCAAGGTTTATAACATGAACAGATTTCTTGAATAAAATGGAAAGTTTCCAGTACAATGAAACATAAATCCACAAGTCACCATACATCGAACACCCAGCAGAAAAAAACAAAAACAAGTTTATACGATCCCTGTAACAGCCATGATCTTAATCTCAGATGCTTCCTCCATCTGCCAAGTGTGCTCTGGATACACAGCACACTGTGGCTTCTGGGGTCACACTCAGCTGAGGCTGTGAGTCCACACAGCACTCATCAGGCTGGGCTATGGTGGTGGTGGCTCTACTTAAGAAGCAAAGCAGTTACCAGCACATTCACACAGTGTATTGAACATCTTTTAAATATCAAAGTGAAAAACAAGAAGGCAACACAATAATGTCATCAGAAAGATGTTAGGAAGTAAGGACAGTTGTGTAAAGCTTGAGGCTGAAAAGTGGCTTGCCAGCTTCATTTCTTCGTCTTCTTGGGTAGTGGGTGCCGGAACAGTAAGATGGGACGTTCTGGTTCATGGATCATGTAATGGACCCAACCCTCACTCTGTTTAACACCAAGATTCTTCCATTCAGATTCAGACATCAAATGGGTCTTAGGGACTAGCTTGGCTATGTCCTTGGGCAGCATAACATGCCGATACTCAAACTCCTCATTGTCATATTTGTCCGAATAGTAAATTTGTTTGTGCGACGTGATTGCTCCGTCTGCTAGCCTTCAGCCCTGCGCCGCCAACCTCCAAGCAACTCCCAGCAGCTTCTTTTTTTTTTTTTTTTTTTTGAGACGGAGTTTTGCTTATTGCCCAGGCTGGAGTGCAATGGCACAACCTCGGCTCACTGCAGCCTCCACCTCCCAGATTCAAGCGATTCTTCTGCCTCGGCTTCCTGAGTAGCTGGGACTCAGGCATGCGCCACCATGCCTGGCTAATTTTTTGTATTTTTAGCAGAGATGGGGTTTCTCCATGTTGGTCAGGTTGGTCTTGAACTCCTGACCTTAGGTGATCTGCCCGCCTTGGCCTCCCAAAGTGCTGGGATTGGGAATGTGATCCACCACATCCTACTGCAAGACTTTGTTTTTAACTTTGAAAGTCTTTGTTTTTCTTTTTTTTAAATTTGTTTTGTTTTGTAGAATCTTTTTGTTTCAACTGTTACACTGTAATTTGCTTACTTTGAGGTAAACACTTTAATCACTAAATTCAAAAATCAGGATATACTATGTACTATTTGGGAAGAGAGAGTGAGATTGAATAATTGAAATAACTATGAATTACTTTTCTTATTCTCTTGATCTTTTTGTTGTTATTTTTTGGAGACATGGTTAGTCTCACTTTGTCACCCTGATCGGAGTGCAGTGGAGATGTTCCTGCTCAGTGTAGCCTCAACCTTCTAGGCTCAAGCTATTCTCCCACCTCAGCCCCACGCCCAACTAATTTTTTTTTCTTCTTCTTCCTCTTCTTCTTCTTTTTTTTTTTTTTTTTTTTT